GGCCCTTGAGGACGTGGGTGATGTAGGACGCCGTCAAGTATTCGGCGCCCGCCATCCGCATCTCAGCCAGGATCCGTCGAGCACGGTTGCAATAGTCTGTCGCCGACTCCAGCTCGCCCATCCGAATGTGAGTCATCTTCTCCTCCAGCTGCCCGATGTACAGGTCGTCCTTCACCTGGTACGTCGACAGGATGAAGTGCCATGCTTGGTGACCAGCATCCAGTCGCTCTCGACAGCTCCTGGGCGCTAGCTGCACCACCAGCGAGCAACACCTTGAGATGACCATGAAGGTGAGCAAGTGAGCCGCACAAAACTCCCCGCGTAGCTTGATATCGTCCACGGGCAGAATTGGCACGGTGCCGTCAGTGAAGCCCTTCAGCCCGGCGACCTCCAGCTAAGGTTCGATTGACTCCCTCTAGGTGATAAGGTCCCGTCGACCTTGCAGCAGTGCGACGGTGATCCAGTCCGGCGAGAACTTGAAGTAGCCATACGCCGGTGCAATCCCGCCCGCCGTCACGTGCGTCATCGCCGAGAGCCCTCCACCGCTTCGTAAAGGAGAACGAGGTCGACCATCGACGTCGGCACGCGAGCTATCTGCAGCCGCCGTCGACCACTGCACTCGTGCCTGTCTCCTGTCGACCCCACCGTCGACCTTGATCACCCCTCTCTGCCTCGTGCCTTCACTGCCGTTGACTCGTGCACCACCGTCGACCTTGTCGTCGACGCCACCTTCGTTTCGCACCGGTCGAGGAGATGCAGGACGGGAAGGGTGTTCTGTCGCCCACTGCGACCGGATGCCAAACTCGACGATCGCCGAAGGGATCATCGAGTACTCGCCATCCTCATGGCGTTTCCTCGCATTAGCCAAACGTGCCTCCAAGGTGTCCACTACGCCCGCATTGGCTACGGGGTCGACCATGGCGACTAACGCTGCTGCCGGCCTACGAACGACTTAGTAGGTGCAAAAGTCGGCTCCTATCTGAAGGTAATTTGCGGGGCCTTCCACGCTCACCGAACCATGCGGAGAGGCACTCTACAACGGTAATGAGGTAGACTACGGGGGTTGGCACGAACTACTAGGAGTGATCGTAGCTTTGCTTAGTTCCTTAATGCTTGCGCATACACGGGAGAAATCGACAAGAGTTTCACTAGGCAAAGTTGGATTTACAGTATGGTTAAACAAGGAATGACAACAATAACTACATCAGTCACCTAGCAACTCTGCAGCTAGCCTGGTCGACCGCCAGCACAGTTTGGTCGACCGCCTGACAACGTTGCGTAAAGGAGCCGCGCCAGCACTGCAGAAGATCGACCTGCCAATTGTGCAGGTAGACGGCGTGCCAACGCTGTAGCAAAGCGGCTGCCCAGCGTTTCCCCGTAGAAGACAGCAGTGCGCACGCTTGCAGGTGCGCGCAGACTATTGGCCCGACTTGCATCGTTGTGTATCCGTCAGCTGTTGTCTGCGCCTGACGAGCCACATCGACTTCAGGATACCAACCCGAATTCGCCTTCGCCACCGCGGCCTCGACAACATTCGCGTGCCTCCGCGGAACTCGTAGAGTAGGTTACCCGGTCAACCTGGACACCACCAGGTGCTCTGATCGACCACCAAGTTCCTCTGGTCGACCACCGGGTCCCTCTGGTCGACCACCAGGTGCCCCTGGTCGACCACAGATCCCGTCGAGCTCCCCCCTGGTCGATGGACCCTTTCCGTCGACCAGAACTGACATCGGTTGTCGCCGAGCTCCCCTCGTCGACCGGTGCTCACTTGTCAGGTCGACGGACTGCTACCTCGACCTCCTAGTCAAACTGCAGGTCGACGGACTACTCGTCGACCTCCCGGTCGAGCTGCCCCTCATGGTCGACGGCCCACCCGTCGCCCAGACTAGTCAGTTGCAGCTGTCGAGCTCCCTGGTCGACAGCAACACCACAGCGGTCCCCTACAGCTTGACGAAGCCTGTCGAGCAGCTCTCCCACTGTGAACGGTCGACTGCTACTCCCATACATCCTACCAAGTCGTCGGCGTTGCCCAAGCGAGGGCGGGGCTAACACTCCATTCGCGTTAATAATGGCAGCATCGAAGCGCACCCAAATGAGTTACTGTATAATCGCACCATGCGGGGTAACGGCCTCGACAACGGGGAACTTGGCAAGAAGGGTGGCGGACAAGGGTCATGCAAGAACAGGGCCTTCAAGGGCATCTGTTTTCGCTATGGCCAGCCCGGGCACATGGCAAACGCCTGCCCCATGCGGGGGCGCGGTGGACAAGGCCCCACACCCGTGATGTGAGGAGTAACCAAGGGCGATGCCCCTTCCCCCGCTTGCCGAAAGGGCATAGGGAATTGCACCAGGGGATGCATGGCTCTGGAGCAGCCTAAGGACTTAAAGCCAGGATCTCAAGTAAGAAAATTGGCTGGAAGTTGGTGAGGAAAGCTCGCCTGTGATTGGTTAATGAGGCGGATAGTTTGACGAGGGGTGAAGTGAAGGCTGTGGACTAAAGTCAAATCGTAAGTTTGAATCTGAACCAGGGAGGCACGGAACTTGGTCCAGTGACGAAGCTCCAACACCAACAATTTCTCATCACACCCAAACAGTCTCATGTATTAGCAAAATATTTTGCATTTTCTCCAGGGGCAAAAACGTGGGTGTGTCGCACACTGAACTTCCTAACCAACCAGTCAATTCGCCTACACAAATAGGGTAACGAGCGTTGCAATTATTTTGCAATTGAAGGCCAGTTCTCATACTTAAAATCATGGCTTTGAAGAGGTCAGGGAACCATTAGATTGAGGCTAGGATGGCTTTGAAATGTATTTCTTGTTGTGCCTAATAATAATAATAATAAGAAGATTAATAATAATAATTATTGTAATAATAATAATATTAATAATAATAAACAAATAAATAAATAAAAACGACATGCAAGATGTTTTTAATCACGGGCTCTTGGATGAAGATGTACTTTGAAAAGTAAGAGTCAGCAAGCCTTCTCAGGAAATGTCAAAACGAAAAGCCACAAAAATGGCAGCATGAAGGAAAATCAAGCGGCACTATCATGTGCAAGCACGCCTAGAAAAAAAAAGGGGGGGGGGGGGGGGGGGGGGGGGCGGTGGAAGGAGCGAGAAAGCAAGGTGACAAAGGGGCCCCAAAAGGAGAGACTGGCAAGGGGCAGCTTAAGAGGTACCAAGGCTCGGCACACCCATGCCAAGAACCACAAGGAAAGGCCACGAGGGGGGGGGGGGGGAGGGGGGGGGGAGAGAGAGATAAAGGGAGAGGAGGAGGTTGAATGGCACGGGTGGCACACATCTGCCCACGCATATCCAACCCATCACTAAGTTGGACAAAAGGTAGCCATCACTGGACGACGAGCTCTACCCATCACCCCACACCGCAAAAGCAAGACACTGAAAACAAGAAAGAGAAAGAGAAGAGAGAGAGAGAGAGAGAGAGAGAGAGAGAGAGAGAGAGAGAGAGAGAGAGAGAGAGAGAGAGAGAGAGAGAGAGAGAGAGAGAGAGAGAGAGAGAGAGAGAGACGTCCTAATCATTCCACACCGCTCTTTTGTTGGTGGTTAAATAAATCTTATTCAACCCTACAGTTTCGTCAAGAGATCTACTCACATCATCCTTTCCTGGAACTTTCGGAGGAGCGAACTTGGTGTGGTAAGAGCGTCCGCTGGCAGGGTGGATCCACCTGCCAATGATCCTCTCCTCCAGGACGGCGTCATGAACGTCGAAGTTGAGAACCTTATCGATCTTCTGACCCTTCTTCTCCAGCATCGCATCAAGCTGTTGGAAACAGAAAACACAGAAGCCACGTTTGAAAAAAAATGTTTCATCCCTCGCGGATTCTCTGTTGTAAAATAGTTGATAGAAACCTAGAAGTTGAGCATTTGACCTATCTTCTGACCCTTCGAGTCAAGCTGTTGTTGAATGCAAGCGTGATGAGAATGTGGGCGGATATGTGCTACCGGTAAGAACGATTTGGCTTCACTCACCTTCTCTGCCTGCACGACTGTGCGAGGGAAGCCGTCAAGGATGAAACCCTTGCTGCAGGACGGCCGCTTGACCGCTTCCTCGATAATGCCCACCACCAATTCGTCAGACACGAGCTCACCCTGGTTGGATACGGTCGGTGGATTTTGCATGGTCAGAATGCATCGCAAGTGTTCAGATTAAATGCTTGAAGCGGGGATAAACTACGACAGGCAACCACAGTTAGCACGACCAGGTGCAAAGCGACACGAGCATTCATGCAGACGTCCATCTCATCGACCCTAGCCTAGTCCTTAGTCCCTAGCCGATTTTGGCAGAGTTTCCCTAGTATAAAGGCCCTAGATCCATGCCTAGTGAGCTCATTCTTCACTGGCGAGTTCGTTTCACTCTCCAAAACCGGCGGCCGCCGCTCGCCGGCGCGGCCTTCGGCCGCGCATGAGGGGTGACAAGGGAAAAGCGCCTGGCATAATAACAAGGGGCAGTACAACATGCAGCCATAGAACAGCAACAACTACAACAACACCCCCGGGCATGACAACACTGCCATGGGGAAGCCCAAACCCAGGCCTGCCACTAAGGGGGCTGGCAAGGGGAAGGCGAGCGCTACTCAACAAGGATCCAACACAACCTCCCGTCTAGCCAGCGTAGGACGGACACGGCTGCTGCCATAAGGTCGAGCGGGTCCCCCCGGGCAGACTCGGCAAGCCGCGCCAAAGCTCTAGGGCCGGGCCCGAGGGCAGCCCCAGGGGAGCCTGGCACAAAGCCAATCAGAGGGAGGTAATGCTGCAACTCCTCCGCTGCCGACACCGCCGCCGACTGCTCCGCCGGCTGCATCGCCTCGATCTGCACCTCCCGCCGCACCAGGGTCACGTGAAGCTGGTCAAGCACATTCGACAGGAGCGTCAAGCAAGTCCCCACGTGCATCACGCGCTGCTCGATGCGAGTTGGGGGCACACCAGGAACCACGGCAGGGGGAGGAGGCTGGGCGGGAGGCGTCACCGGCTCCCATGGACGCTGCACAGGGGGGCCGCCATACAAATACCGATGGAACGACGGCGAGGCCGGTACTGACGGAGGGTTTGGGGCGTGGAGGAGAGGTGACGGAGGAACGTGGGGCATCGAGGGACGAGGCTGCTGCGGCTGGAGGGGCAGGGGAAAACGACGTAGTGGAGACTGAGCTGGTGGCTGTTGCGCTACCCTGGATGGCGGTTGCAGTGGTGCCTGAGGTAGCTCCTGCTGCCGTGCCTGCAGCGGAGACGGCGGTCGGCCCGGTGCCTACTGGCGGTTCTGCCGCTGCCTTTGGCGGCGGCTCAACTTCAACCTCTGCCACCCCACGGGTTGCACAGCCGGAGGCTAGGGAGACGAGGCCGGGCGCGGATCCGGAGCAGACCGAGGAGGTGGTGTTGTCCGTGTCACCAGCACCGGTAACGGCGGCTGTGCTGGCGGCGGTGGTGTCTGCTACGACTGGGGAGCAGGGCGGAGCCCCGGTGGCGGAAGGCGCGACGACTGCCATTGCGTGCGCCGCAGCCGCAAACAGGCAGGAGCACGGCCAGGCGGAGGGTGAGATTCCGGGACCCGCGAACGACGTTTCTTCTGGCGCTGTACGAGCGAAGTCGAAGAAGAAGCTGCGTGCCCAGCCAGCGCCGAGACGGCCCGGAGCAGGGCTGGGACCTGGCTCCCTGGGACCCCTCATGGCCTGGCTTCTGCAAGGGCAACCGCCATCGGAGCGAACGCATCGGTCGTCATCTACGCACACGCAAGAGGCAAGGGGGGTTTCCAGACTCAATTAGGCAGCAACAGAGTCGACAGCAACCCGCCAAGCAGAGCAGCCGCCTCTAACCAGGACAACGGAGCACGCGTGCACTCACTGCCAAGCCCTGTTGCCCCAGCGGCAGAAGGCGTTGCCACTCGTCACTCGGCTCGGCTGGGCACTATCACGTGGGGTCCTCCAAGGGGAGGCCATACGCCGTGGATGACGGCGGGGAGAGCGGGACTAGAGGCCACGGCTTGATCGGCGCTGGTGGTAGGCCGGGGTTTGCGCGGTATGGGCCGCGGAAGGCGAGGGGGGGAGGGCGCGGGGGTGTCGCTCGTCTGGGGGGAGCTGAGATCCAAGCACGTACAGGCCCTTGGCAGGAACGTCACGACCGCCCGGAGTGTTCGGAGGCTGTGGGCAATGGGGACGAAGCCGGCTCTGCTGAGGAGAACGGGGATCCAGAGTTGATGTGTGGAGAGGAACCAGGCCCAGAGTCGGAAGAGGTTTCACTGGAAAACGAGGAGGAAGTAAGAAGAGGGCGGAATCGAGCGAGAGGCGCCGGGGAGGGAGTGGACGGAGTAACATCCCAGGCTGTGGGAGTGACTAACCAACGAAGTGAAATCGCCAGCCACCCTGGTAGAGGATGATGCCATATGGCAGATAGCAGGCACATGGACCTTGGATCTTTTCCAACGAACAGACCAACCCTACCTAGTCAGACGGCTTCCACCCCAGGTGCTGGATAAATACTGCCTGTGCCTCCTCGCACCACTCCTGCGGCTGTCAACAAAGCCTGAATGCCCAGGTGCATGGGCGATCCTACTATACCTCCCAAGGCTGACACTGCTCATGCCACCAGAGCCAGTCGCTGGCAGTCGATGGGCATCAATTGAGGCTCGGCTGCATCAGTTCTAGCTGGGAGACTGGGATGGGTTGTTCAAGGCTGCTTGCACCATCCCCGACACAGGTGCTCCGCTAAGGCACCAAAATGATGACGAGGGGGTTTGCATGAGGGCAGAGGGTTTGGTTAAAAAAGGTAACATTTCGAAAGCAGTTGCAGCGTTACGCACGAGCCCCCTCGCCGAACCGAACTTGGCAACGCTGACTGTTCTGCGAGCGAAACACCCGTCCTCTAGCACTCCAACACCAGCCTGGGTTACCGGGATAACTTATTCCAAGCTCAGTATCCCACTCGATGCTCTTCGCAAAATCCTCGAAAAGTGCCTGAATGGGGTAGGAGCGGGGCCCTTAGGCTGCTGTTTCGAACACCTGAGAGACCCAACCCTGGCGAATAAGGAGATCCTACTGCTCCTTGCAAACGTAGATAATCGCCTTGCCAGCTCTTTCCAGAGCCAACCAGTCCGCGACCTTCTACTCCCTTCCCGGCTCATAGCATTAGAGAAGCTTGGGGGAGGAGTTAGACCGATCGCTATAGGCGATTACTCCGCGTGGTAGCAAAAGCGGCGATACACAACTTAGGCCCGAAAATCCGAGAGTTCTTCCTCCCCGTTCAGTTCGGCGTAGCGGTCCCTGGAGGTGCAGAGTGTATCATCCACATGGTTTGCTTACTCCTCAGAGATGATGAGACCCGCATAGCCCTAAAGCTGGATGTAGAGAACACTTTCAACAGCGTAGAACGCGCGTCATTTCCCTCCGCCCTCCAGTGGTTTACTCTCAACCCGCTGCTCCCGCTCGTCCGAAACCTCTACAATGGCCCCTCGCGGCTGTTAGTGGACCCCCGTCTGGAAGTGGAACACATCCAAAGCTCCAGGGGTGTTCGCCAAGGGGATCTCTTCTCTTTGCGGCGGCGATCCAGCCTACACTACTCAGCGTGGCTACGAGCGTCCCGGAGGTGGCAATAGTGGCATATGCTGACGACATCACCATCGTCGGGCCTCGCAAAGCAGCGTGCGGTGGCCTTCAACACGGTCGTAACGGAACTTGCTTCATGTGGGTTACGGTGGAACATTGCTAAGTCGGCGGCATGGTACGAAGTGCGGGAGGAAGGGGGAGACGACCTGCCACACGGTCTTCCTGTCCACCCAGGCGGCTTAAATGTGTTGGGCAGCCCGATCGGCAGCGAGGCTTTCTCCACCGACCAGGTTCGGGCGGCCCTTACGGAGGCAGCTGCGTCGCTACCCCTGGTCTCCCAACTCAACCCGCAGCACGCCCTACTCATGCTATCTCGTAGCATCTCCCGCCGCATCTCGTACTTACTTCGCACAACACCACCAGAGGCACTGGCCCGTACGGAATGGAGGGAGTGGAGCGAGGCATTGGTGGGAGCGGGGCTCACGGCATCAAAGCCTATTGTGGCGCCAGGCAACGCTCCCGGTTTGGCTGGGGGGCCTGGGAATCATTGATCCCATCTCCGAAGCCCCAGCAGCATACCTGGCCTCGACTGCAGCGTCGCTGTTTCTATTGCAGCAGCTGAACCTGCTGCCAGACTACCTACTTCACAGGGCCGGGGAACTGCTCTCACCGACATGGACCCCACCTCCCCCCCGGGTGAACCCGCTGCCCCGCTCGAGGCAAGGCTCCCAGCACAGGCCTCAGCGGTTCTACGCAGCTACATGGAGAACCCCAAGGGCATGGGCAACCTACAGCTGGGGCTCTCCAAGGCCATTAACCATACGCGGGCGGAGGAGGTGCTAGCGGATACGGTGACTGATAGGCCGGGGGTGGACCGGAGCCATGCTATTCGGCTCATTAGCTTGAAAGGAGTGAGAGCAGGCAACTGGCTCCATGCAGTGCCCACGAGGGCTGACCTCTCAATCTCCCCTGGTCAGTTCTCCATAGCACAAGGCTTGCGCCTTGGCATGGAACTACCGGTAGCGGATGTCTGCCCCTGCAAGAGATACAACTCCAAGATAGCCGACAAGAGTCTGCCGAACCACCTGCTTCGCTGTGCCGACGGTGGGGATGCTGTGCGCACCCACAATGCCCTGGTTTTCGCTGCTCTTCGCATGGCGCAGGAAGGGGGGTACAAAACCTTACATGAGACGACCGCTTTCTCTCCCCCTGTCCTGAGCAATCGAGCTGACCACGCCGTCAGGGACCAAGAATCGGGGGGGACCTGGGCGACTGACGTGACTGTGACGGACCCAGTCTTACAGAGGAGGGATGTGAGGGCACGGAAGCCGCCGGGATGGGCAGCTGAGGAGGCGTCGCAAGCAAAACACAGGCTCTATGAGGGGCTTCCTGGTTATGTCGGATTCTTCGACCTGGCGGTTGAGACCTACGGGGCGTTGGCGGACGACACCCAACAGTTCCTCCGCATGTTGGCTACCGATGCGGCGAAGAAGTACCGCCAGGGGCGCCTCACCACCACCGCAGCCCGCCTCAACGCACACTACAGGCAGCGGTGGTCGGTGATGCTCCAACGCAGCCAGGCGACTTCCCTCCTCTCCAAGTCGAACCGGGCAGCAAAAGCCGCATTCCCTCAAGCGGCAGCGGACCCGTGGCCCCCCCGGTTGGGGGACCTGTGGCAGATGCAGGAGGACGAGCATGAGGAGCGACAGGCTCCTGCTAGAGCGGCTTAGGAGGCCGGGGAGGAAGGAAGTCGGTGACAGGGGGAGGATGGGCGGCGGCAGGGGAGGGGTATAGGGGCATGGTGAGGAGCAGGAAGGGGAATGCCAAGATTGGGAGGGTTGTGGGGTGCCAGAGGCCTAGTGGCTCAGGCACAGTCCTGGTGGGGCGCCCTAGTGTATGGTGCTCAGTGTGCACACACTCTGATGGTGTGGCTTCGTTTGCTCGGTTTGTTTGCCTGCCTGCTGGTTTATTTGCTTGCTTAATGGCCTTGCAATCTTAGCCTTACGGTTGCATTCGTAATTAGGCAATCTTGTAGCCACCACCTGCCATGCCTGTACCTTATGACTCTACTGCCACTACCGCCAGCACTGGTCGGTCATGCAGCAGCGTTGCCAAGCAACAACCCTGCTGGCCAAGTACAACCAGGCTGTAGAAGAAGCCTACACATAGTCCATGGCTGACCCCTGGGCTCCGCGCCTAGGGTATCTAGCTCAGACCCTCGAGGATGAGCTGGATGGGGCGGAGGACTGGGGGACGTAGAGGGCTGGGGGAGAAGGAGATTGAGAGGGAGAGATACGGGCTGGAAGAGGTGGTGATAGGGGGGGGAAATGGCAGGCGGGTCAGGCTTAGAGCCAGGGGCGGGTCAAGGGTAGAGGGCTGGACTAGACGCCAGGATGTTCTTCGGGTAGGGCAAAGGGCAGAATCACTTGGATGTCTGTTTGCCCGTGGGATTGCTTGAATACTTGTGTGTTTGCTGGCCTGTTCGTTCGTCTGCTTGCTCACAGGCTTGCTTGCTCCCTTGTCTGCCTACATGGCGGCCTGCTTGCTGGTTGACTCTCTGCTGCTTGGTGGTTGCCTCGTCTGCCTGATACTGTGCTGTCTCTACAGTAATGATGTTGATTTTTACCCTGTTACTGTCAAAATATGTTGGCATATTGTATATAATCGTTTGAAGGTGTAGTGTAGTTATTGCTTCATTGTTGGTGGTGCACCTCTTGTTCTTGTTCTCTCACCTATATGTTCCTTGTTTGCTATAGTGAAACCCCTCTTTTGCTTGACAAACAACTCTCTCGATACTCACCTTGACATGGTATCAGAGTACGTAAGATCCTGCCCTGTTGTTTTTAACTACCCCATGGGCCCACCGCGGATCTCTCGTTTTATCCTGCCCGATGCGCGCCTCGGGCGCGCGTCGGTTCCGGCCCGATGCGCGCCCCGGACGCGCGTCGGTTCCTGCCCGATGCGCGCCCCGTCTGCGCGTCGGTTCCTGCCCGATGCGCGCCCCGGCTGCGCGTCGGTTCCTGCCCGATGCGCGCCCTGGGCGCGCGTCAGTTTCTGTCAGCCGCGCGCCCCGTGCGCCCTGCTGCAGTGCACGCCCGGCTGCTCCCCACTGCGCATGCATCTGCAGCAGCGGAGCAGCCCCTATTCCGCCCCACCATTCCCCCCCCCCCTCTCCCTGCTGCTCGTGCAGCAGTTTGGTGGGGGGGGCGGAGGGTGTGAAGGGGAGGCTGCACCTACAGCGCCAGCCTCCTCCCTCTCCTTGCTGCGCATGCAGCAGTTGGGGGGGGGTTGAGGGCGTGGCCCAACTGCAGCAACTGCCGCCACGCCTCCTCTCTCTCTCTCTCGATACTCACCCTTCCTAGCTAAACCCTAGGTCACTAAGGTGTGAGTTATGAGCCTACTTTGACAGTTACTTCAGGATGATGTCAAATGTTTTGCCTTGAATTTCAGGATGACTGTGATATTTTGCCCTGAAGCGTCAGGATGAAAGCGAGGAACGCTCTAACGCGAATAAAGGAGGGGGGAGGGGGGTGTGGGGAGAAGGGAGGAACTGTGTTTGTTTCCCCCACAGAATCTGGTCCTGCCTTGGCACGAATGATTTTTTGCCATGTTGCACATTTATTTATCGCATGCACCTTGAGTTGCGACGCTGCGTTACTAATCAGGGTCTTGCGATTTTTTGCCCAGAGGTATCAAGAAACGCCTATAGGTACCCTGAAACTTCAGGATGACCATATACTTTTGCGTTGAAAAATCAGGGCATCTTTTTAACTTTTCAAGTGTTGCCCGGAGGCCTCAGGATGCTCTGAATCATAGCACTTGCCTTGATTAGATG